GGGTTTGAAAAAAATTATTAATTAATACTAACTTGTAATGATATACACCTTTCACCTATACACCTGTATTATGCCAATATACAATTGTACATGCACTCAACGATTCTGCAACGGCTCACTCCCATGCTATAATAAATTCAGAAATATCATTCTGGTCTTCAATGTGTCCTTGTTATGTCTTCCAATAGATTGAAACTGTTTTTCATGCGGTTGAGCGCAGTGAAGGAACATGATTCTGAAAAAAGATCCCCAACTTGAGCAAGCCGATCTCCGCTCAGTGTCACATTCGGGGTAGCAATTGAGCTTGGAAGTGCTGGTGAAACTGAGCAAGCAGCATGACATCCCCACCAGATGCCATATTAATGGGAACACCCATGCTTATATCAGTCATAGCCCCGTTGGAAGGAGACAATGTTAAGCCCAAGGCTACACTAAGATTACAATTGGTTCGAACCAGGCCTAAACAGTCCCGTTGGCAATTCTGCGGTTGGTTGAAAATAGCTCTTGTGCTTGACTCACCATTTGACAAGTTCTTGCCGGTCACTGTCAACCCCCCCAGTAAAACTAGCTGCAGAAAAAGCGATGGCACTGGCCCGGGGAGATGCTGGATGAGCCAGGGTATGCTGTTCCTCGGCCGATGCAGATGGATTCCCCAAAGCGATAGATGGCGGGACGTCGACCTGATCCCTTTGCGCTTGCGCACAGTGTTCCTCGGAACTCCATCAGCCCGTGCAGCCCGTGGTCAGCCAGGTCCCCGGCGACGTCCCCTGGTATATGGTGGAGGAGACCGACCGGTCTGTCGCTGTCGTTGTCTGCTGGGTCGAGGCATCCCAAAAATGATGCTTGTACACCAGAAAAGCAGCAGGAAAAATCTTATGCAGGCCCAAGATTACTTCAGCTTCAAAGCCTGAACAGGGGTTTTCCACCGTACCTGAGCCAAAACGAGACAGGTGGGCAACCAAGTCCATGTAGGCTGCTCTTGTTAATGATTTGTCGGCAAAGGCAGGACAATCATAACCACCCTTCGACAGGAAGGTCACCTAAAGATATCCTGAAGAAGCTCCGCAAAGATATACAAATATATTCACAAAAGGAGACGTCTCAAAGGAAAAAAACAGGAAAATTGGACTCGTTGTGGAGAGAGTTTTATGTTGAGATGCAGCGGCTTTGGAACTCTATGCCAAAGTGGTCTTGTGCGCATTGTTAAATTATGACATTGTATAATTTTTCCAAATATGCTCTTGCATATTTTACTACTATAGCCTTGAAACTCGGCTATAAGCCAGCAATCTTTTACGTCGGTGACCACGTGTACACACTTCCCACAACATGTTTACTCTACCATGGCAACAACAGCTGCTAAGTAAGCGCTTGACAACAAAAACAGCGTCTGCTAAGAATAATGCATTTTATCTATAAGTCATAAAATAGAATATAAAAATTTCAACATAAGGCTAACGGCTAGATGAGCACCCCTATGGATGGCTGGACGGACTCCCCAACGGACAGAAATTGGTATTACGTGCATGTAGGTTCACAGTTGCTTCCCAAGTCACCAAAAAAAAAATGCTCATATGGGGATCCCTTGCTTTACAGTTTACCTGACTAAAGCACATGTAGATCTCAAGCAGATCAAAGTCTGTGATGTTGTACACCTAAATATTCATTATGAAATTTAAAGACATTGTCACAGCCAGATGTTTTAACTTACCCATCCATGATCATTGCATCAAGGGTTGTCTCACCAGTTTCATCTGGGCTGTAAACAGAAAATACAATAGGATGTATTTATTTTATTCACTAATGAACAGCAGCATCTGCTACTGAAATACTGGTAAGGGGGCTTACCAGTATGGCCTGACCGTTCTTCCTGGGGGAAGTCCACTGGAGTCCGGCAACTTTTTTTAACAAAAGAGCACTTGACACTGACAACAGTACGTAACAAGAGCGGTGTATGTTAATCTGCAAACATGCATGTTTCAAGACACCGTGTAATGGAACTGCTCTCCTTTTTCTTTCCTATTTTGGCTAACTTTTTACAAGAAGAGTCTGTTTATTTTGGAAGAATGTTTCTAGTATGACAGAGACTAAGTGTAAATATGATTGTTAATATAAGAAGTGAAAGAAAGAAATGACAAGTCGTCGAGAGAAGAAGAAAAGTGAGAAAATTTGTCGTGTTTTTCTTGTGTCTATTTATAATTCTGGGGAAGATTATTTGGGGAAGACAATTTCATGGGATGGTTCCAAGTTTACTTAGAAGGGGCTGTTTTATCACCACATTAAGGAAGAGGATGAAATTGAATTAGATGAAATAAAAACTGGTGAAGCACACTCTACGTACAAGTTGGGGCTGGGCATTGATGCTGGGCATGCATGGACTTCTGGGGAGCGGGCACAAGAGCCACAGTGCCCACCTGTAGCAAGCATAGACCGTGTGAACTTAGTGGGTGCTGCACGCTCTGCTTTGGCCGAGCGTCATTGGGTAGTTAGTGTTGTCACGTTGGCAAGGCAAGTGATGGGTATCTGGTATTATGTTGGATGGGATCCAGATACCCCAGCATGAATCATGACCACACAGAGCCGGGGTGCGTGCAGTGTGACCCATCAAACTTGGCAGATAAGGTCTGGTGGCCAAGGTAGGTGTGTGCAGTGCCGTTAGCAAAATTGGGTAATTAATCCCGGCTAGCAGGCCGCATGTGGAGCAGACTTGGACACATGTCAAGTTCTAGCTGAAGACTAGAATATTTCCACGCATGAACAATCAAGCGGGAGTTTGGAAAAATTGGCCCAAAATATTTCAGTCAGGCCATGTCGTTTGACCCCTTCACACTGAGAACGTCGATGGCCACGGCTTTGCATACTAGGCATACCGCAGCCCAGCAGTCACGGTCAAAAGAATCACGGCGTTAAGGGGTTAACCCCTTCATACCGGAAGCCGGCCACAGCTGCGGCTTTGTGTGAGGATTAGTGCATACCAGACATGCATTCTATTCACCGTGCAGCTGCTGGTTCAATGGGGCCACCTGCTGAACAAAGCTTTGCATACTGGGCATATCACAGCTCAGCAGTCAAGGTCAAAAGAATCCCGGCGTGAAGGGGTTAAACAAGCCTTGACTGATGTCCTCCTCTGGCAAAGTGGCTGACAGCAGGCCGAGAACCTGAATCATGTCTCGCCGCAAAGGATGGAAATGGCAATCAGAGTGAGGGGGCTGATGGAATCAACTTTGTTCCCCTCGGAAGACAATGCTGGTTGCCGGTCAAGGACACAGCAGTGCTTCGTTCCAAACCATGTGCAATCACTGATGGACTGGAAGGCCAACATTCAAGCCACAGAGGTATTTTTGTGGTGGTTGAGGAATTCGATGAAGACGAGCGCTTGTACCAGGGGTGTGATTTGGGGAAAATAAAAAATCCACAAAACATTTGTGGGAGGGTTTTGCAAGTCGCGTTGGCCATAGCTTCCCTACAATTCGCGGCATATCTATTTGATTATAGGAGGAGATTCAGGTTCTACATGTAAGCCACTACAAGAGCTGTTCTTACTTTGAGGGATACAATTATAACATTTACTGCAACAAAACCCTTGTCCACATTCACTTCAATTGCAATTATACATGTAAGCTATAATTGGAGACAATCTAAGACCTAGGAGTGTAAAACACACACACGTGCAGTTAATCAATGATCCACAAAATTCTATCACAATTTATTGAAACTGCTCATACAGATGAGTACTGCATCACTTGTGACACCAGGACATACAGTTTTTGTGTTACAATACCCTGGTTTGTCAATTTTCACTAGAAAGTCACAATAATATATCGATTTCCCCTTGATTAATTCTCTGTCCACCTTGGTTTCCAGCCAGGAACATTTCCAAGAATTCTTTAATACTTTGCCTATATTCAGATCCCCTTCCATACCTACTTCCTTGTAAGAAATTGTTGATGGACGTCGACAACATCAGACTACCATGAGAACGAAACAAAACGCAAGTACCGTGCATACACACACACCGAATGTACAGTACGTACATATACAGTATATGTACATACACACAATGATCATACCGCTGGCCTGGGTTCCTATGTTTTAACAATGATACACCCTCAGTTCAATGTACTATTACCTATGTATCTGGTGCATTTCCAGGGGGAGTAACAATGCAAAAGTGCATGCTATGGCACCTAAACTTGTGTAAGTCTTTCGCTTAGTTTCGCACCAAATATTGTAGTCTTTGAATTACATATTGAAAGCATTGACAATACGGAAATCCAAATAATCTCACAGAAATTCTAGAAATCTGGACAAATCACACCCCTCTTGTACTTGCCTTTCCCGATGGCAACCCAGCAGCAGAGGTAGCCAATGGGGCTGTGGGAGGCAGAACACCCAGGGTGCGTTCCTGGTCGAGGTCAATGGGAACTGCAAAATTCCAGGTAGAGAGACTAGTAGAAAACAGGCCGGTCAATGTCCCGATGAAAACCCAAGCCAAGGATGGGCTGCAGTGGCTTGAAGCCTGGGCAGTGAGCAGCCCAGCAGACAAGGTGGAAGATGGGGCCGCTAGAGGCAGAAAGCCCACGGTGTGTTCCTGTGTGACCCTGGTGATGCCAATTTAATAGCCCGAGCAGCGATGGCTTGAAGCCCTAGTGGCGGGTGGCCTGGCTGAGGAGGTGGCAGACAGGGCTGCGGAACACTCGGGGAGCATTCCCGGTCAAGGTCAATAGGAACTGCAGAATTCCAAACAGACCAGGAGAAAAGAGGTCCGATGACCCGGTTATGCCCTGTCAATAGCCATACATGTAGCTGCGGATTGGCTAAGGCAGCTTGAAGCCCCAGCAGCAATGGGTGCCAGGGTGTCATGACTCGACGGTGCACCAGGCGAGCGGGCCCCAGCACTCGTGGGAAGTCCTGCCCACTGACTTCGGAATCTGGGTGAGAGGAAGTATGCACTGGGGGGGGGGGCAGCCGGATCGGAGAAGTGGTGATCTAGGCTGTCAGCGTCGCCGGGAAACGCTGGCTAGAACACGGCATGGATTCCTCTGGGTCACATCAGGTGAAAGGCATGGCGAACTTTAAGATGATGGTAGGACGGGTCCGGGAGACATCTGTTGGGGTACTCTCTGAGGAGTCCCGGCTGGCTCACCAGGCCAGCAATTGACCAAGGAGACAGGGTCAATACCAGATTCTGGCATTGTCCATGTTAGGATCTTCCACAATCGATCAAGAAGCTTCCCCATCAGCTCTGTGGGGCCGAACGAACAAGGGGCCTGGCCAGATCCTGGCTGGAAGCCCCTGGATGACAGCTAGGCCTTTTCCTCATCCCAGTAGCTGGAGAAGGGGAGTATGACAGATCCTGACAGTGACCCCCTGAATTCAACCGGCTAAGGCCTATAATACACTGGTAGGGTAGACACGGTGCAGCTGAAACGAACCTCGTAGTACTGACGGCAAACACCTTCAGGGTGCAGAAAGAACACTAAAATATACACGAAAAGAACACTCTTACCAATAAATGGATGAAATCTGGGTCATAGTTTATTTACAAAGGAAGGAGAGATGATCAAATTGACACAGAACCGTGTAGCAAAAACGGAAGCTTGATAAATCGGAGATGACTTGAAAGACACGTGCATTACAGCGCTGAGAAAAGGACGATCATAGCAGCGAGGCCGAGGTGGGAGGTCAGGGTGCACAACAGGTGATCATATCTTTTCAGCTAATAAAAATAGGCGCATGGGAAATTTGCACATGTAGTGACGGTTTGGGTAGGTAGAGCACCGTAGAGCTAGCATGTTTATGGATACATACTTTGTATGTACATGTATCTTCTTGTAATTGGTTATTGGTGGATAAAATCCTTTGCAACATGGCATGGTTTCTATTTTGTGTAAATACCCGTTCAGAAGTGTCTGCTTGCAGGTGTGGTAGCATCTTCATTTGAAGTCACATGTTTTTAGTTGATTCGGTCGTGTCATTATTTCCACTGCTTCTGAGGCAAAATTTAGGAAAGGTTGGTTGGTGATCAAATATGAAAAGACACAATTCCATCAGAGTTGCAAGCCTTTAATGTGTAGTTACCTGCAACAGAGTCTGGTTTTTGAGTCACAGGCAGGCATGTTTCTTTGTCAAAGTAAAAAAATAATTTTTTGGCTTGGTACCATATTTTTGAATTTAACATCCATCTTGGCATAAAATTTATGATTGGATAAAAAAGTAATAGCTCACTGGTTTCCAAAGCCAACACTGCCGTCACACTGTTCTTGCTCACAGGTAGAGCATCCTAACTCCACTGCATCCAGGGAGGACCCTCCAGATGTGATACTACTCCAGCCTATTAAAATATTGGAAAGTAATTAATAGTATATTGTGTATCTATGTACATGAAATTGTTTAAACAGTTCTTGGTAGTTTTCAAGTTACATTAGCTTTAAAGCAACATCTTTCAAGTTTTTTAGGAAATTGAAGCCATAGGATTTTTCACAAGGCAAAATCTGTAATTGTCAAAGATACCAATATGCGACTACCACCAATTTTACAAAAGTTTATGCAACAGCCTACTTTCACTTATGCAATACTTTATTGTGTCCATTCTGCAAGAAATTAAGAGCAATTTCGGGAAAAGTATGCGCAGTGTAAGTCAGCAACTTGCACAACAATTTATGACATAACTTACGCAGGCATTTTAGGTGGCATAAGTTGCAAAAATGACTGATTCGACTAACTCAATTGTTTAAAGCTCATCTTTACTGTACTTGACAATGTTTAAACAAGAACGCACAAATTACACATGAACAGCACATGCCCTTAGCTTTCGGCAGTACTCTGCTCAACCTTGTCCCCAGTGCTTACTTTATCTCATGCTGGTTCCCATTCCCTACAAGGCCCTTTGCACACTTTGCTATGTACCCACAGAGGGTAATTTGGTGTTGTTGAGGGCGCTTCACCATGAGCTGACGTGTTAAAGGTGCTCTGGAAAAATCAACAAAATTTCTGAAATAAAGCTCCGTCATCAACCACCCTTGTAAGTTTCATATCATATAGCCATCATATTCCTGACCTACTCAAGTTTAATCCCAGCATCATGCCTCCAAAAAAGGATAAAAAAGGAACAGTAACAACAAAATCATCCCTCAAGCCAATCTTGTCATGTGACCAACCCCATTTGCCTGATGCGTCATCGGACAATGCCATTGACAGCCTACGACGGGAAATTAAATCGATGGCAGCAGACCTGCATGGCAAATTGGACAAGGTGATCCTTAACTAAGAATCTCTCCTGACAAGGATCTATGGACTAGAAACAAAACAAGAGATGGAGGAAGCATTCCATTTCTCGTCTAAAACCATCGACGAAAACTTAAAGAAGTACAGAAGATAATGTCAGATGGTGTCACAGAGCTCAAGACACAAGTAAGTACATCTGTCAGTAGGATCAAGCAACTGGAGGAAGCTACCCTCCATTTAGAAAGGCATTCCTGCAGCTTCAATCTCAGATTTGGGGGAATACCAGAGAACCCAACAGAACCCACCACGTACCCATATGATACGGTCAAGAAAATCCTGGCTGAGAAATTGAACATGCCAGATATTGCGATCAAGGCAGCACACCGTACTGGTTGAGTGCCCAAGTCGCCAACAGACTAGCCTCGTCACATCATTGCTAGATTCCTCTACAGATATGAACGTCAGCATGTGCTGACAGAATCTAAGACCAAGCTTAGAGGGATTTTCATCCTCTAAGACTTGCCAGCGGCTGATGTGATCAAGAAGAGAGGCCTCCGGGACGTGATGAAGAATGCGTACGACACTGGCCAGCACGTCTCGTTCAGAAACAGTCAACTCTATATCCAGGGAAGGAGATACACAGGTACAGGTCACTAATCAAACCCAAACCCAAATACCTTCCGCCATCTCTCATTTAATATAACATATATTGGTTTCAGTTTTTAAAGTTTGATTATTCAGATCCACGATTACATGATCTTAAAGTATCTACTTTGATTTTTTGGTCGTTCTTGTACAGTACATATATATTTGTGTTGTACATGTAGTCTTTTGTTGTTTTGTTTTGTTTTTTTATTCTAATGTTTTTAAGCTCCATGTACTTGAATCCCTGGGTTTGTGTGCAATCACCTTGGCTACGTAAACTAAATTCCACACCCTGCAAAATTACCATAGCCTTTTACTACTTATTGTGGTGCCTGCCACAGCTATACAATGGACTGCATAACATGCAACCATGGTACACGTAACTGATCAATGCAGCGTGTGCTGCAAATCAATTGATAAGTCTGATTGGCACCATTATTGTGGAACATGTAAAAACTGCTTTCCTGACATATTACCATTTAACCATCTTTCACCTCAAGACTTTGATCTATTAATTTTTGAATTTAAAACTAATACTAAAGCGGATAGAGACCGTCTAAAAAATCTAAAATTTAACCCATTTACGTCCAACGAAGAAGTTGCTGGCAATATTGATCTTGATCCTGACATAAATTACTGTGCTACCAAATACAGCATCTCGGACTATCTTTTGCCGGACCAATTTGTCAAAATATGCAATTTAATTAGTAGTAAAAAAACACTTTTTCGTGTTTTCACCAAAATACTCTAAGCCTAAGCAAAAACATTGATAAAATAACTGATTTTATAAGCATACTTAACTTTCAATTCAAAGTGATTGGTTTCAGTGAAACTTGGTTAACTAATTATAGTTCATGTACATAAAAGATTATTCATGTGTAAAGGAAAACCGGCAAAACAGGTCAGGTGGTAGTGTTACACTATATGTGCATAATTCCATCAATTTTTCTCGCCGTAATGACTTATCATTGAATTGCGCTGAATCTGAGTCATTGTTTCTTGAAATACCTTCTAATGAAAGTAAAACCATTACTGTTGGAATAATTTATAAACCGCCTTAATCTAAAATCAATGAATATATTGATCACCTTGACCCCATCTAAGCCAACATACATGTAAACCAGGAAAACAAAATTGCCTTCATTATGGGCGATTTTACTATTGACTTATTAAATTATAAAGATTATAATCCAACTCGGAATTTCATTAACTCTATTTTTAGCCACTCTTATTTACCACTGATAGACAGACCAACTCGCATAACGCCTACAACTGCTACTTTAATGGACAATATTATATCCAATAGTATTGGGTTTATCCGAGGGTTTACTCAGAGCAGTATTCTGTACAGTGATAATTCAGACCATTTACCGATCTATCAGATATCTTCTCTTTATACCGGTACTAACAAATGCAATAATAACATGCATTCATATAGACATAATACAGCTGATAAACTGGAAAGATTTAGAATCAAGTTGAATAATGCAAACTGGAACATTGCATGAACGCATGATCCTAATCTTGCCTTTTAATAATTTTCACTTTGAATTTTTAAAAATATTTTAGAATAGCTTTCCACTGAAGAAAACGAATAAAATATTCGATGGAGTCTTGAATTCAATTAATCACAAAAATAAACTCTACGAACAATATCTGAAAAATCCATCAAATAACAAGTGTATCAAATACAAGACATTTTGCAACAAATTAAATGATATTATTAAGATTATTAAATCAAAGTTTTATCAAGATAATTTGAAAAAGCAAAAATTAATGCTAGAAGAACATGGGGCATAATTAACTCCTTATTGAATAAAAACAACCAGAAGAAATATCCTTCGGGGTTCAATTTAGATGGAAACCTTTCAAATGAGCCTTGGGAAATTTCAAATGCATTTAATTACTACTTCATGCAAATAGGTCCTTCTCTCAGCCGAAATATTCCACAAGCTAAAGTCAGTTATGAGAAATACTTGACTGACCCTAATCTTTTTTAACCCGACAACCAAAACAGAGATTCACGAAACAGTCTTAAAATTTCAAAGCAACAAGTCTCCGGACTTGGATGGAGTCAAACCAGGGCTGCAAAAATCCATCGTAACTACCATTAAGTTACATTTTTAACTTGTCTCTATCCAAGGGAATTTTTCCAGATAGATTAAAAATTGCTAAAGTTACCCCTATATTTAAAAAAAACAACCCCACCGAGCTTGGTAATTATAGACCAATTTCTGTGCTATCCTGTTTCCTGTTTTCCAAAATTTTTGAAAAACTTGTTTACAATAGGACAGTGAAATTTCAAGACAAATATAACCTTATTTCTGATCATCAATATGGTTTTCGACCAGGTTTCTCCACTTCAAAGGCACTTACGACTTAGCAGACAAAGTTGTCAAAACCTTTGAGGAGAATGCTTTTTCAATTGGAATTTTCTTAGATTTATCAAAAGCATTTGATACTATCAATCACGTCTTGACAGAGAGAAATTTTTAACACCCCCCACCAAACAAAACTTTCCAATGCTGTGGCCAAGTCAATGCGCTGTGCACACGACAACTCATTCAGTGTACTTTATTAAATTTGTGCATTGTTTTAGTTGCCAGTCCAGAATCCCTCCGTTGATCATCATTATTTTATTCTGCCACAGCGAACTGGAACCTGGGTACCCCCTTTGACCCCGGTACCCTGGCACACCTTGGTAACACACGGAATACTTCTTAAAAAAATTAAATTATTATGGCATTCTGGAGGTTGCCCTTCAGTGGTTTGTGAGTTATTTAAATAATCGTAAACAATGTACTAAATTCAACAATTGCCTGACTAGTTTGAAACCCATCTCATGCGGAGTACCCCAGGGCTCTCTACTGGGGCCTTTGCTCTTTTTAATTTATATTAATGATATCTCAAAAACATCAGACCTGTTATCTTTTATATTATATGGCAAAGACACCAGTTTATTTTATTGAAACAAGGATATTAACTCTCTATATAATATTGTTAATACCGAATTGGTCAGTATATGTGATTGGTTAAAAGCAAATCGTTTATCTCTTCATTTATCTAAATGTTATTATGTAATTTTCAGTAAGAGGAAAAAGAAGAATGGACACAACTTCAATATTTTATTGGACAACACAATTGTAAAGAACGGAGAGAAGTTTAGGTTTTTAGGTGTCATCATCGATGACAAATTAACTTGGAAATTTCATATTAATGAGATTGCAAGTAAAGTTTCCAAGAGCATCGGAGTAATTAATAGATTAAAACATACTGTTCCATTTCAGGTATTAATTAATAATTACAGTTCATTGATACTTCCTTATTCTTCTTATTGTAATATTGTCTGGGGGAGTACATTCCCTACAAATCTATCTAAACTAATAAATCTGCAGAAAAAGTTGTTCGAATTATCACAAATTCGCCTTATAGGGCCCAAAGTCAACCCCTGTTACCTGAGCTCAAATACTTAAGTATTACAAACTTAAACAAATATCAACAAGCGTTATTTATGTATAAGTTTAAAAATAATTTGATGCCTGTAACAGATCCAAACATGTTTGTATTTAACTGTGGCTTGCATAAATACAGCACTCAACCAAGCTTCATTTTCAGATACCGCAACACAGAACTTCTGCCTATCAATTTAACATTAAATACTCTGGTCCCAAACTTTGGAATACTCTACAATCCTCAGTAAGATTTTCAAGATCATAAACCATCTTTAAGCGGCAACTTAAGATCTTCTCATGTAAAGCAACATAATTTTCAATGTCACAATGACTACTTCTGATCATATTCGTAGCCATGAAAGTTAACTTAACCTTTTTTTTTCATAGTCCATCCTCAACAATCATTCTATAATTGCTTAGAGCTACAATTATTTGTTGTTTCTTATAGTAATATGTATGTATGTTTTGTTTAAGGGCATGCCTGACACAAGCTTTGCTTTTAAGGTGTTGCCACCTCTCCTGGCATATACATTAATATTTCTGCCACCAGAGGAAATAAATGTGTGTGTGATTGATTGAAAAAAAAAGGGGGGTAATTTGGCAAAGAGAAAACATTGCGATTGGAATGAAGACCAGTAAATATTTCCAGCTTGGCTATCAAAGAGCTGGGGGAGGAAGTTCCTCGTCTACAACCAATCAGGGATTGCCCTTCTAATGGAACTCCCTTTCAAACAACAAATCAGTAACGTACTACCAAACACTAGCATGGGCACTGGTGCCATGTTCATTTTCAGTGCATGCATGTGGTCATGACTATCAATTTCCAGATAGTCGACTAGTCGTGATACAGCGATTAGTTCCACTGTGCCCCGACTAGTGGCTGGAACTCATACGTAGCACATAGCCTGCACATAGGGTGCACTTGTGAATCACTTTCCACCTCCGACAAAATGGCCGAGAAAATGTCAAAAGGGCCTATTAAATGATTAAGAAGTATACCTACCGGTACAATTTCAGCTCATACAATCCAGTGGATGTCTGACTTTCCTCTATGGTCAGACTATGCCCCGGACACCCCGGATAAACGTGTTCAAAAGAAATCACTATCAATCGGGACAGGGCCCAGTATATGACGAACGAGTATATTCTCAAGGTTGGGAGGTACACTTCACAAATAGTGAAGCGTGCAATGTAGGTCTAAAGGGAAAATCTGAATTGACTCAAACTCTTAACATTTACATCAAATGTGCCTGAAATTTCACTATTTATACGCTATGAACATTTTCACACTGTAGTGAAAAGGTTTTAGGAATTTCTATCACGTTGCTGCCAAAACAGAAGGAAAACATACAATCCCAATACAAAGTGAATGGAGAGTTGCCCCTTTGACCAGACATGAGTGCATTAAATCATGGAACAACTTGAGCGAGAATGTCAGACCCCGTTTACTTTACGGATGTAAAGTTAAGCCATTATTATTATCTATTCATGCTAATCTTTTTCATCACATACAAGATTGGCATTGGAAAGGCAAAAGCGATAACAATCAGTGAATCACTGTGGCCAAAGACACTGCCACTCCAAATTAAGTTGTATAGGCCCTATAGAGTAAATAAATTTTAATTTAGGCCTAATTAATTTTTTTCTAGCTAACGGCTGTTTGCCTTACCAGCAGAAGTAGCATTCGTGAACGGCCAAGTATTTACAACTAATGGTAAATACTGAAAGTCACCCCTTTGAGTGTTGGTCATTGCCCCCTGAGCAGTCTTACTCTTAGTTAAACACACGATGAAAAGCAGCAGGTTCACCACGTACGTTAACACAACCATGATGTGCGAGCTGCAGCAGCCGACGGGTGAAATATCAATGCAATCAGTTAGTTCTTTACCCTTACACGTTAGCTCCTTATACGCACGTGAAGCCCAACCGTGGCGTGTATGTATTGCGCATGTCCAATGTAATATTAGACTCGTCTAGCAGCCGTTCATCGGTAATACAAATACATCAATAGTAAAAACACCACCAGCTTCTGCGAACAGAGCCTGGAAGTTGACCCCTGATGGCGCGTTTCCGGACCCGTGGATAGGAAAAATAGCGTGCAAAGATTATAGAAATTTGTAATATTTGTTCGTTCAGTTTCTTCTTTAAATATCTAGCTTGGAAAAAGGGCTATGAAAAATATTTGCTAGTATATCAACTTATAGAAACTGAAAAATTACCTGACCTAAAAGAGAAATATCCTGCCCAAAATTGACCCATCACTTCTGAAAATCTAAAATACATGAAGAACAGTGCAATACAGCACCCTCGTACGCAGATGAATATTTACGGTTTGAGATTTTATGGCATTCTGTGTGTAAAACCAAAGTAAAAACAGATCAAAATATTTTGCATATTTTGATAATTAATACGGAAATAAACATAAAGCATTATTCTTCTATTACGAATGATTTTAACTAACGTTTGCTGAAACAAATGCGTGATGTCAATTCAACGGAATCTGGAACCCATCGACTGCATGCAAGTAGGTAAATCTTTGCAAGGTTGTACAATCTCGTTTTCAAGAAAGCACGACGAATGAAAATAAACGTGCATAAACAAGGACCCAGGTGCGATATCACCGGAAGTGAAAGGTCGTTAATAGAATTCGTTTTTACCCATCTCCAGGTGACTTCTCCAAAAAAATACTTGATGAAGACAACGGTAAAATTCCAACATGAGTGTTTCATGGGGTGGTTTCAGTCAGGAATTATTTTTCCAAAAATTATCGATCGTGATAGGACGGCCCAATGTAAAATCCTCATAGGCGGAACGCGCAAGGGTTCCGGAAGCTCGCTGCGTGACCTTTCACTTTCAGGCTCTACTGCGGTAACCAAGCGGTTACGGCGCGCTAGTGGTTTGTGATCTGTGGGTTGTGGGCTCGAATCCTGTGTGGAAATGGTGGAAATTGTGTCCATATGTGTGCATGGGTCCGTGTACATACCGTCCAATCGTTTTCCAATTCAAAATATTGTTACAAAAAACGAAAAATAAACCCTTTCCAATTTCTTGTTTTGATTTTTCAAAAACCAAAATAGGAATTTCACCCTATTTACCATTGACAGTTTTTGATTCAAAAGATGAACCCAGGAAAACCAAAACTTTTTTCCAGTTACCATGTTTGAAGATTCAAATAGAAGCCAACAATTAAAATTTATTTACCAATTACTCTTTTGACATCTGTAAAGACAGAGAAAAAACAACAAACCTTTTGCTAAATACCATTTTTTGTCTGCAAAATAAAAACAAGACAAAAGAAACCCTTTAACAATGATCGCTTTTGCAATTAGAATAAAACAACAGAAAGCCAAACCTTTACCAAAGACCATTTTTAAGATAAAGAGGTAGAAATGGGAAAAGGAACCCTTTACCTTCATACCAATTAAAACTGTGTCTTAAGTAACAAGAATGAAATAAGCTCTTTAATCTACACCGTTGTGGAATCTTACAAACGAAACTAAACCCTTAATCAAGTACCGTTCTGGGGTCTTTTTGAAGCAAAAAGGAAATATAAACCGTTTACCATATACCGTTGCAAAATCTTTGTGAAGAAAAAAGAAGACATTAAGCCTTTATCGTTGATTGTATCCAAGTTCGGCCGCGCTCGAGTTTCTTTGGGTTTAATCAAGTAAAGGGCATAGTATGGTGTACTATTTACGACAAACATTTCTCTCTCTCTTGCCTCT